TATCAAGTATTCAAAGTTTTGTTTTGAACCATTCGAAAGAACGTTAACCATGTAATTCAAAGGAATTGTTTGTTGCCTTCAAAACTATCAACCCAAAATAAATAAAAAATTTGAAGTTGATGATGAGGTAGAATTCAATCAGTGAAAAACAACAGATAGGTAAAGCTTAACTCATAACAAAGAGTAAGCGTTTGAATAGATTAAACTAGTATGCAAAAAACTGGCAGAACTTGCATCACACTTGTATTTAGCAAAAAATTAAGCAGCCTACCTGAGATCTAGAAAGAAACATATGAATAAGATAATGGCATTATTTATAGATGATCTTTTTAACTATAAACTTGTATTTCAGGATAAAGTATAAAGCATTGTACGAATTTACAATGTACACACCATCCTGTGGTTATTTATTTCAAAAAAAAGGTGTTCTAAAGCACAAATCTTATTTTATGGTTTCAGATGATATGATGCATGATGAAAAAATCTATTCAGATGATATCATGCATGATATGAACATGGTGAATAAAATGGTATTAAAACAAAATTATCTTTAATAAAAAATCTATATACTTTTTATATACCTGTGTGCAGATCAGTATAAAACTATAAAAAAATGATTTAAATCTTTGTTTTCATCTTAGGGATTTTGGTATTTATGCTAATTAGAACTTTTTTGTAAATAGTCATGGTTATTATACCACCTATCCCATCAACCTTGTGATGGGGTAGGTGGTACGATTAAACGTTTAGTAACACTAGCAAGTTTAAAAAGATATATGGGTTATCATATTTTATCTCTTAAAGCAATGTAGAAGTATTGTAGTTAAAACATCGAAAGCGTACATTTTATTTATATAGAATCAGAAGATTTAACTTTCGTAAGAAACATTCTTAAAGAGCAATTGGATACTACAAATATCATATCTGGAACACGCAGTTAAAATCAGTTTGTACAACTTGGCCATCAAGAGGTAAAAGAATATATATTTAATATACCTTTAAACAGAAAACAGATTCAATCTGTTAATCAGCTTTGCACCCCTTTTTCATCTATTAGATTATGACGTTGAATGCTTTATCTTCTTGACTTAATTCATGGGTTTTGCTTGTGCTTTTGTTTTTATGACTAGGCAACTCATTCTAATATATACTAATGAAGGTGCAGCTCTAAAACTCAATTTTATGTTTCTCAAGCTGGGTGGTAATCAGTTTTTCTAGGATTGAATTCAAAGAATATTTTTATATAAGATTTTGTTTAGCACCACTTTACTCTATCACCTTTCTCTTTGCTCTCTCCTTCATCTCAAGACTACACTCTTTTTGATCTCATTTTTGATCAAATTGACTTCAGCTCTTTCTCTTTATCCATCAGCCAATATTATTGTTGGTGACTTTAATGCTCATCACATCATTTATGTTAGAGATTGATAAAAGACAAAAGTTGTGTGCCTTAACACAAGGTCTTAAGACACACAACTTTTGCCTTTTATCGATCTCTAACACAAATAGTCAAATTTTTTTTTAAAAAAACTCGTTTTCCGACGTTTGCAATGGTTTTACATACGTTGGCCCAATTTAAGTGTGCTAGCTGGGAAATGATTTACTTTTTCTACTCAAACTATGTTTCGTTTCTGATTCTAGTCAGTCCTCAGTTTCTCCACATTTATCCTTAGGTGCTTCTGATCATGTTTGATCTCTCTAAAACTTCTATCTCATGCTCTTCATTATCATAATCCCCCTATCATCGAGAATTACCTTAAAGCTGACTGAAACTCTTTCCGTGATTTACTTTGTGATGGCTCTTATAAATATCTTTCGTCTTCCTGCTTAAAAATGTGCTTTTAATGTAAATTTTTGGATACAGGCTGGTATGGAATCATTAATTCCCTCAGTTTAATGTCAAGCCTCACTTTTCTCCTTGGTTTTCCTCTCATTGTGTTGTTGCAATTTCCAAGCGTAATATGGATTTTGTTGATAGATATGGAAGTAATTACATTACTTCCATATCTATCAACAAAACAATTTTCCAGAAAATAGACGTCTGTTTACTATTGCTAGAAACCATTGTAAAAATGTTTTTCTTTAACATTAAAGCCCCCTATCCCCAAGTCACAAAATCTTGAAATTTATACCAAAAATTAGGCTCCAGAGACTTGTGGGGAATCTTTAACAGTGTTTATAAATTCCAATAATCATATCCTATATGATATAGCCAACAAACAGGTTGATCCATTGCTTAAAATTTCGTATCACTTCAGCTTCTGTACCTTAAATAATTTCCTGTTTAGTTTTTTCTACAGCTTTTGGTCCAGACAACTTACCTGTTATTGTCTTGCAGAAGTGTTTTCCGGAGCTGTTGTCCATACTTTCTTCTTCTTATCATAAGTATTCTTCCTATCATTAGCAAGATTTTTGAGTCTTTAATTAACAAACAGTTAACAACATTAACAAAAATCTCTCATCTTGAATCTAATAACTTTCTGATTATATGGATTTTGATCTTTTTGTTCTACTGCTGATTTGTTAATGGCAATAACTGTAAGGTTTTATTGTCCATTAGATAGATGAAGTTAGTCGCTCTCAACATTTCTAAAGCTTTTAATAAAGTTTTAGCATGATCTTCTCCAAGTTCTCTTCTTACGTAGCATTTTACGTCATGATTTACGTAACATCTTTAAATCTTTCTTTACCAATTTTAGTATAAAAGTTGTTTTCTATGAACAGCACTATTCTTTTTTTCATGTAACTTTAATGATTCTTCAAGGTTCTATTTTTGACCCTATACTTTTTCAATTTACATTAACAGTCAAGTCTAGAAATTCTCACATGTAAGGTGGCATTGTTTATTGATGATACTACCATTTATTCTTGTCTTGAAAAGAAGTCAACACTCTCTGATTACTTGGAGGGGTAATTAAGCTTGAAAAGAATCTCACTTTTGCCACAGCATGAAACTCCCAGTGGCTGGTGAAATTTAACTCAGATAAAACTCCAATATTTATAAACGGTAATGTACTCAATAAGACATCTACCTTTTGTCTTCTAGGATTAAATCTTACTTCCAATTTTTCTTGGAAACCATGTATCAAATGCAAAACTAACATATGCTTAGGTTGTATCTCTTTATTGTGCTTGTCACTTTTCTATTCCTGGTTCTATTCTTTATCTCTACAAATCTAAAATTCGTCCTTGTATGGAATGCTGTAATAACGCCCTTTCTCTTTTAGTCAAGGTATAAAAACGCATTATAAACAAAGTTTAACCTTATGACCATTTGACTTATGTTGACAAAGTTTGACCATATGACTTATGGACCTTATTACCATATAAAAATTTTTAATCCCCTCAAATTGGTCAAATTTTGAAATTATAATATGAAATTTAAAATTTATTGATGAACATAAATCTAGTTGAGAATAGTTCAAAAAATATTTTACCAACTTATTGCTCTCACGTTTGGGGCAGGAGCGGCAAATTCTAAGGAGGTTTTTTGTTCCCAGGCTTCAATCATTGCAATTTTTTGCATAGCATCCTTATTTGACATAATTATAAACATATAATGTTTGGAGTTTGCTCTATGTCTGGAAGTTATCTCAAGTATCAAATAATACTAGATCCGCCCCTGAGAAACCAAAAAATAATACTAGATCCGCCCCTGAGAAACCAAAAAATAATACTAGATCCGCCCCTGAGAAACCAAAAATATTTTGAAATTTTCAAGATTTTTGCAGCTATAGGTATTTTTTTAATAAAATTTTTAAATGAAAAAAAATTAATCAATTATTTTTTCGATGAAACAAAGTTACTTTTTATTTATTTAAAAATAAGTTGAAAACGAAAACTGCGCAGTATGTTGCGTGCGTTTTAAGCAGTAGTTGCAAAGACATTTTTTTTTTGATTTCGCGCTTTTTTTAAATATTATTTTACGCTTTTTTTTATGTATTAAAAATCAATAAAAAAGAGCATTTAGTTTATTTTGTTCTTTATCGTAGTGTTAATGGTTTAGAAAATATTAAATAGATTAGAAACTTTTAATAAGTATACAAATTTTTATTTCCTTCACAAATTAACAATCCTAATTTAAATTATGTGGGAATTATTAGAAAAACAAAACGTAGAATGATCTTCCTAAATTCAAGCAATACTTATAGACAGTGGCGTAGGAAGGTCGCGAAGGTTGGGGAAGCTGAAAAAATATATTAAAAAGGAAAAAGTTCCTCAACTTTGTACGATACAGAAAAATAGATGAAAATGATTCATTTATTTTATTAATTATCACACGTAACGTGATTAATCATCTTTTTAACGTGATTATTCATCTTTTGCCAGCACACATTCATTTAAAAAATAGTTAGATGCGATCGTATCTTAAACAGTTTTATGGATATGCTTTTCTATGGTGATGTTTAATTTTGATTGAGCCATTGCAGACTGGAAAATGATAATTCCGCTGTGGCTATTATAAACTTTTTTTTAAACTGTTTAAGAAATGGGGGGGGGGGCAAATGCAGTGTCCGCCTCCCCAGTGTTTTAGTTGGGAAGGCTATCGCCCCCTCCACCTCCCTGTTCCTACGCTAGTGCTTATAGATTCAAATTCTATAGGTGCATAATTCATAAAAAACTGTTGCAAGTTTATACACGTTTTTTGTTTCTTTTAGTATTGATGCAAATTTGCAATAGGTTTAAAAATACAATTGTTTAACATGCAATGTAAGTAAGCAACTTTTAAACTTACTTGCAATGCAAGTAAATATTAAAGTTAATATATTATTCATAAAGTTATTACATCTAAGTTATTATATATATATACAAAATATATTTGTAATCAGTTTATGATAATATTATTAAGTACAAAAATATGATTTTTAATTGATCATTAATTAAATATAATTTCTATTTTATTTTTTAAGTTATCATTAATCAACACACAAGTGCCGCCTGTTTCGGAAGTTTAATAAACGCTTTTTAGAGAAAGTTTTTTATTTGAAATAAATTAGCTTAATTTTAAAGGTTTAATAAAAAAGTTTGTTATCATTTGATCAATTAATTGTTAAAATGGTTCCGACAACAACAGACTCCATGAAATTTAAAAATGGTGGGCATATTGGAATACCATCACGAGAATTTCACGTGCATTATGCAGCGGTTAGCGAAAATGCTGTTCAGGAAACTTCAAGTGCTCAAATTATTTATGTATATTGTTCGCCTCGCATGAAACATACATTAAGCTTGCTTTGGAAGCTTATCTTGTTATCTTACGTTATCGCAGCTCCATTATTTATTTACTTTTTACAAAAAGACTGCGAAGAAAACACGGCCATATTGTTTAGACTAGAAAATAACTATGCAAATTACATAAAACACACTGAAAAAGATAACTCAAAAAGAGTGCGCAGAGAGATAGCCAGTAATAACTCTTTAGAAATTGGCCTAAAAATATTTAAAGAAACTTACAATACAAAACCAATCAATGATGTGGAGAAAAGCATTTCAAATCAACTTAGCACATTTCAAAAAAAGCTAGAAGTATATGCAACAAGGTATGTTCTTCCATTTGTTACACTATTTATACGTCAATTATGGTACACTCTTTATGATTTTATCTGTAATTATCTTTAATATATATATATATATATATATATATATATATATATATATATATATATATATATATATATATATATATATATATATATATATATATATATATAAATTGTAAAATATGAGCTACTATATATTTATGGTAGTTCATATTTTCTAAAAAAAATATCGAATTAGGCTTTATCTAATATATAAATTTTGTTTCCTACTTTTTAACTTTATCGCGTTGAAAAAATATACGAAAAAGTAATTTAAACTGCCGTCTGGGTTTGGTACCCCAAAGACTTGAATAGAAGGCCAAGTGTTCTTAAGACCCAGACTCTTTATAAAATCGCATCAAAAAATAAAAAGTTAAATAAAAATACCTGATTTAAAATAAAACGTTTCAAAAGAGTTTTTACGTACAAACTGGATTAACTTCAAGAAAATGATTACTAGTGATTTTTTAAGCCAAACTGATCTTTGGCGTAGTTAAAATAGCTTTACACTCTATTGTACATAACCATTTCTAGACTTTTTGTAAACTCTGTCTTCTTAGAAAATTGAAAAAACTTTGGCAATTTTTAAATCATCAGAAAAAAGCTCCTTCGTCGAAAAACTTTGAAAACAATATCTTTTAACTGTTCAAATCACTTAATAAGTATGCTCCAATTAATTAAATTAGCTCCAGCAGATTTTTTTTTTTTAATATACTTGGAGGTTTTTTCAAACTTTTTAATGAATTAATTAGAACGACAATTTACTTAAACTAATGTCATTATTCATTTGTTCTGAAAAGTTATTATTAACTGTCCGTTATTAAAAATTTGATTTTCTTTTTTAGAAACAATTTTGATGAAAAACCCATTAGTCATAACTCTAGATTAATGATGAATTTTAATTGTTTTCAAAAAAATTTAAGCTTTGAGGGTTTATGAGTTTGGATAGCATTAGGCCGGCTGAATAAAAAAAAGCAATTGCTTTTACTCTGCGTTTTTGGAGTAATTGTTCAGCTTTACGTGAATAAAAATTAGAGCAAAATCGCTCAAATTTTTTTAACGTAAAGTTAAGCAATAAACAAAAACTCTAAGTGATTGCTCAGCTTTACGTTAATAAAAATTTGACCTGATTTAGTGATATTTTTTCACGTAAAGCTGATCAATTAATGAGTAAAAGCAATTGCTTTTTTTTATTCACCCGGAACATTGGTTTGCGCAATTTTTTTTTTGAACATGAACATGAACTGATAGCATTTAAAACGTTGTAAAGATCAACTAAAAACGCCTACATCTTACTATTTTTACCATTAAATGATTAAGAAATATTTATTAAAAACAATTTTTTTTTGCTTTAGTTATTTCTTTAACAGGAAAGACAGTTTAAGGATTTTTACAACTATGCGCAGTGCCGTGGCTCTGGGGTCTGAGTCCCCCCCCCCTTTCCAAAACCTGTATATAGGGCCTATACTTCTTAAATAATTTTACAATAGGTATTACTAAATAAAAATAAAAAACTCCTTAAATTTCCAAAAGGGCCCCTAAATTTGCAAATGGGTTCCCTATATTCGGGGTGTAGGGTAGCCTACCCACTGCTCTGACTATGCAGCTTACAATTTGTTTGAAAAATTTTTTAGAAGCTTGCAATACTTTTTGTTTCATTTGCAACAATAAATGTACCGTAAGCTATAAGGATACTTTAATCCCTTAGTTGAGGTGCTTTGATCTCATGTGGGGAAAATAGTTCGTATGTTTGATAATTATACATCTAAGTACTATAATTGCACTAAATATTTGTTCATATAACAATCAAATTGAATAACTACGTTGTTTAACTATTAACTCTGGTAAGATTTATTAGAAATTAAATATTTTTCTGGAAAGCTTTTAGAACAATAAAGTTTTCGTGAATTATGAATATTGTAGAACTATTTTATTAATATAAGACTTAGAATAAACAAATTGTCTCTAAAAAAGTATTTTTGCTTCTATATTATTTTTTAATTAAACTCCAGATCAGTGTAACATAAGAATGTTATTCTGAGTTTTGTTAGTTTGGTTAAATAGAAAAGATTCTGTTTTAAAATTTGTATTTATTGCTGAGTATGCCAAAAACCTGAAAATGGAAAAAAGGTAAAGAAGCAACATAGATGCTTGCAGCTTTAAAGAATGCTGTGAAAAAAGTTGTTGCAGAAATCATAATTAGGCATTTAAAGAAACTTGGATAAAAACGAATGGTCAAAAGTATAAGTTTAAAATATTCAATGAGTCTGACTGATTATTTGTACAAATAACAAGTAAAATTGTTGCTAAAAAGGAAAAAATTATACTGGCGCAGTGACCACTACAGAAAAAGATAAAATAAATTACTGCAGTCTGTTGCGTTTTAATAAGTGTTTAATATGTGCCCTTGACGTTGGTCAATACGCGCCCCAATTTTGTTGTTTACTCGTATAAAAGTTGCAAACAAGATATTTGAAATTGTTGCAATTAAGAGAGTTGAAAGTTTGAGATGTTTGAAGCCGCAAAAATTAGGCGTGTCAGAGCTTTTGGAAAGTAAAAGACCTCACAAATTCAACAAAACAAAATATAGGAGCTGGCAAGAAGAAAAAAACAAAAGTAGACCGTATGTGAAAAAAAGAAGATTTTACACTTTATGGTGGACGTGATGTTAGCTATAGAAAACTGATTCAAAGAAAGATGAAGATAGCTCCAACGTGTCTCTTGTTAACAAGAATTCACAAGTGCTGTACCAAAGATAAACTTACCCAACAATTAAAGGTTTGTCATTATCAGCTTGACGATCTGTAATGTTTTTACTTTAATTTTTCTTTTATAAAAACTTATAATTTATGAAGATTCTCCAGATGATTCAAGGTAAGCTTCAGGAATATGCGTATTTGCTTTTTAATAATATAGTTTTTATTCTACTTGATGTTTTATTATTTTTGTATTTAAATTTTTCTTAACCAATATAAAAATAAAAAGTTAAAGTAAGACAATAGGTACAATGATTTTTATTTATAAAGTCTTTCGAAAAATGTTTTGTGTTGTATGGTGTGATGGTATAGATTAAGGGGCATGGTGATAAGACTGATATGTCTTTTTCTTGCCTCTACTATTTGTATTTATATTATGTTTTTTTGAATAAATTTATACGGCAAAAAAAATGAAAAAAAAACAAAAACGGGTTGTCGTTTATAATGATATATTTAGATGTAATGACTTCATTATATGTAGTGACATATAGTGACAAAACTTTTGAACATATTTATACTAAATTGATAGTAAAAAATTAAAACTTATTGATATTATTTTAATCACAAATTTAAGTTAATTTTTTAATTAAGGTGTCACAATCTTATATTATTACAATATTTATTTATACATATTATAATTATATTTATAAATATTATTGGCCCATACTATAGTTATATAGTTATAATAAGATAATCTATTATGTGTTATTCAGTAAACTATTATATGTTAGTCGTGTGTTGCTATATTCTAAAATAATTTTATTTGATAATTTGTATATTTTTTTAACACTTGTTTACCATATACTTTAGTAATACATTTAACTCAGCCATCTATGTCCATAATAATAATATAGCATGTTCGTATTATAAATATATGCTTGCAGTATGGATACACTAGAATAATATTTATTTTGCTAATAACTTAATTATAATAATTTATCTATTAAAAAAACATGTGGTACCTTAAGGTACCACATGTTTTTTTAATAGATAAATTATTATTATAATAATTTATCTATTAAAAAAACATGTGGTACCTTAAGGTGGTACCATACCTCTAAAAGTTCAAAATTTTCAAAACTTGAATTATTAACTTTTCTGGTCAATTTGACATTGCTGATGCTGAAAACAAGGTAAAATTTAGACCCTATCTAAATTACTCTGAATAGCATTTGAAAATGTTTATAATTTTTTAGTTTCTTAACAACGGTCTTAACAATCAGAGTGAGACCTGAATTTATTTTATTTCCAATCTTAAGTGTGTTCATTCAGTATGGAAATTAACTTTATATCTATAGAGTTTCATTTTTTGACTTAAAAACATGTTTACAATCAACACAATCACAGTCTTTGCATATATTTACTGTATGCATGTAATGCAATTTAGGTTAAGTTTTTATTATTGAATAAAACCAAATAATTGTTTACTTACAATGGGCTCAAAGAGCAAAAAACTGAAGTCAAACGCTAGAGAAAGAAAATTTTATGGTAATAGATTCACTTAACACCAATAAAATTCTGGTTTGTCTAAAGCTAAACAAAAGAAACAAATGAAATTAGTATATCTGCATCAGCTAAAAAAATAAAATATGACAAATTCAAATCTGAATTAGGTATAAACTGCAGTCAATATATTGAATGCTATTTTTTTTTTAACACTCAAATCTTTAAAGACATCACCGATAAAGTTGGTTTGTGTTCAATATGTCTTGGAAAATTAGGTTTTAATTATATTATTAAAAAAAAGGATTATCACATTTTTTTATACTTACTTGTTGTACCTGTTACCATAGAAAAATAAGTTTTAGACCTCAAAAAAAGTACCAAATTATAACAAATAGTTTATATCATATATCTTAGTTTATCAAAATAAAGTATATGATATAAACCATCTCATGGTTTTAGCATTTCGTTGTGAAAATAAATATCAATATAGTAATAGCAATCAAAATAGCAATCAAACGTTTTAGCTATTGTGTAAGCATGCCTCAACCAATGTCTTTATAATATTACAATGCTATGAATGAAAAACTCTACAGACCTTATGTTTCAGAGTCCGGAAACTTAATGAGAAAGGCAGCAGAAGAATTTTCAGTAAATGATAGCTATACAAAATGTTACTGCAATTTTTGATAGATCATGGCAGGGTCGTGGATTCAGCTCCTTAAATGGAGTAGTAACTGCTATTTTAAACTTTTAGTGTAT